AATCCATAATCATATTTAGTACCCCTCACATAATAACAACCCATAATCATATTTAGTACCCCACACATAATAACAGTCCATAATCATATTTAGTACCCCACACATAATAACAATCCATAATCATATTTAATATCCCACACATAATAACAATCCATAATCATATTAAGTACCCAACAGATAATAACAATCCATAATCATATTTAGTACCCCACACATAATAACAATCCATAATCATATTTAGTACCCACACATAATAACAATCCATAATCATATTTAGTACCCCACACATAATAACAATCCATAATCATATTTAGTACCCCACACATAATAACAATCCATAATCATATTTAGTACCCCACACATAATAACAATCCATAATCATATTTAGTACCCACACATAATAAGAATACATAATCATATTTAGTACCCCACACATAATAACAGTCCATAATCATATTTAGTACCCAACACATAATAACAATCCATAATCATATTTAGTATCCCACACATAATAACAATCCATAATCATATTTAGTACCTAACAGATAATAACAATCTATAATCATGTTTAGTACCACATACATAATAACAATCCATAATCATATTTAGTACCCCACACAGAATAACAATCCATAATCATATTTAGTACCCAACAGATAATAACAATCCATAATCATATTTAGTACCCCACACATAATAACAATCCATATTCATATTTAGTACCCCACACATAATAACAGTCTATAATCATATTTAGTACCCCACACATAATAACAGTCCATAATCATATTTAGTACCCAACAGATAATAACAATCATTAATCATATTTAGTACCCCACACATAATAACAATCCATAATCATATTTAGTACCCCACACATAATAACAATCCATAATCATATTTAGTACCCCACACATAATAACAATCCATAATCATATTTAGTACCCAACAGATGATAACAATCTATAATCATATTTAGTACCCCACACATAATAACAGTCGATAATCATATTTAGTACCCAACAGATAATAACAATCTATAATCATATTTAGTACCCCACACATAATAACAATCCATAATCATATTTAGTACCCCACACATAATAACAGTCCATAATCATATTTAGTACCCCACACATAATAACAATCCATAATCATATTTAGTATCCCTCACATAATAACAATCCATAATCATATTTAGTACCCCACACATAATAACAATCCATGATCATATTTAGTACCCACACATAATAACAATCCATAATCATATTTAGTACCCCACACATAATAACAATCCATAATCATTTTTATTACCCACACATAATAACAGTCCATAATCATATTTAGTACCTCACACATAATAACAATCCATGATCATATTTAGTACCCCACACATAATAACAATCCATAATCATATTTAGTACCCCACACATAATAACAATCCATAATCATATTTAGTACCCACACATAATAACAGTCCATAATCATATTTAGTATCCCTCACATAATAACTGTCCATAATCATATTTAGTACCCCACACATAATAACAAACCATAATCATATTTAGTACCCCACACATAATAACAATCCATAATCATATTTAGTACCCCACACATAATAACAATCCATAATCATATTTAGTACCCCACACATAATAACAATCCATAATCATATTTAGTACGCCACACAAAATAACAATCCATAATCATATTTAGAACCCCACACATAATAACAATCCATAATCATATTTAGTACCCCTCACATAATAACAACCCATAATCATATTTAGTACCCCACACATAATAACAGTCCATAATCATATTTAGTACCCCACACATAATAACAATCCATAATCATATTTAATATCCCACACATAATAACAATCCATAATCATATTAAGTACCCAACAGATAATAACAATCCATAATCATATTTAGTACCCCACACATAATAACAATCCATAATCATATTTAGTACCCACACATAATAACAATCCATAATCATATTTAGTACCCCACACATAATAACAATCCATAATCATATTTAGTACCCCACACATAATAACAATCCATAATCATATTTAGTACCCCACACATAATAACAATCCATAATCATATTTAGTACCCACACATAATAACAATACATAATCATATTTAGTACCCCACACATAATAACAGTCCATAATCATATTTAGTACCCAACACATAATAACAATCCATAATCATATTTAGTATCCCACACATAATAACAATCCATAATCATATTTAGTACCTAACAGATAATAACAATCTATAATCATGTTTAGTACCACATACATAATAACAATCCATAATCATATTTAGTACCCCACACAGAATAACAATCCATAATCATATTTAGTACCCAACAGATAATAACAATCCATAATCATATTTAGTACCCCACACATAATAACAATCCATATTCATATTTAGTACCCCACACATAATAACAGTCTATAATCATATTTAGTACCCCACACATAATAACAGTCCATAATCATATTTAGTACCCAACAGATAATAACAATCATTAATCATATTTAGTACCCCACACATAATAACAATCCATAATCATATTTAGTACCCCACACATAATAACAATCCATAATCATATTTAGTACCCCACACATAATAACAATCCATAATCATATTTAGTACCCAACAGATGATAACAATCTATAATCATATTTAGTACCCCACACATAATAACAGTCGATAATCATATTTAGTACCCAACAGATAATAACAATCTATAATCATATTTAGTACCCCACACATAATAACACCATAATCATATTTAGTACCCCACACATAATAACAGTCCATAATCATATTTAGTACCCCACACATAATAACAATCCATAATCATATTTAGTATCCCTCACATAATAACAATCCATAATCATATTTAGTACCCCACACATAATAACAATCCATGATCATATTTAGTACCCACACATAATAACAATCCATAATCATATTTAGTACCCCACACATAATAACAGTCTTTAATCATATTTAGTACCCCTCACATAATAACAATCCATAATCATATTTAGTACCCCACACATAATAACAATCCATAATCATATTTAGTACCCCACACATAATAACAATCCATAATCATATTTAGTACCCCACTCATAATAACAATCCATAATCATATTTAGTACCCCACACATAATAACAATCCATAATCATATTTAGTACCCCACACATAATAACAATCCATAATCATATTTAGTACCCAACAGATAATAACAATCCATAATCATATTTAGTACCCCACACATAATAACAATCCATAATCATATTTAGTACCCCACACATAATAACTGTCCATAATCATATTTAGTACCCCACACATAATAACAATCCATAATCATATTTAGTATCCCTCACATAATAACAATCCATAATCATATTTAGTACCCCACACATAATAACAATCCATAATCATATTTAGTACCCCACACATAATAACAGTCCATAATCATATTTAGTATCCCTCACATAATAACAATCCATAATCATATTTAGTACCCCACACATAATAACTGTCCATAATCATATTTAGTATCCCTCACATAATAACAATCCATAATCATATTTAGTACCCCTCACATAATAACAATCCATAATCATATTTAGTACCCCACACATAATAACAATCCATAATCATATTTAGTACCCAACAGATAATAATAATCCATAATCATATTTAGTACCCCACACATAATAACTGTCCATAATCATATTTAGTACCCCACACATAATAACAATCCATAATCATATTTAGTATCCCTCACATAATAACAATCCATAATCATATTTAGTACCCCACACATAATAACAATCCATAATCATATTTAGTACCCCACACATAATAACAATCCATAATCATTTTTATTACCCACACATAATAACAGTCCATAATCATATTTAGTACCTCACACATAATAACAATCCATGATCATATTTAGTACCCCACACATAATAACAGTCCATAATCATATTTAGTATCCCTCACATAATAACAATCCATAATCATATTTAGTACCCCACACATAATAACTGTCCATAATCATATTTAGTATCCCTCACATAATAACAATCCATAATCATATTTAGTACCCCTCACATAATAACAATCCATAATCATATTTAGTACCCCACACATAATAACAATCCATAATCATATTTAGTACCCAACAGATAATAATAATCCATAATCATATTTAGTACCCCACACATAATAACTGTCCATAATCATATTTAGTACCCCACACATAATAACAATCCATAATCATATTTAGTATCCCTCACATAATAACAATCCATAATCATATTTAGTACCCCACACATAATAACAATCCATAATCATATTTAGTACCCCACACATAATAACAGTCCATAATCATATTTAGTACCCCTCACATAATAACAATCCATAATCATATTTAGTACCCCTCACATAATAACAATCCATAATCATATTTAGTACCCCACACATAATAACTGTCCATAATCATATTTAGTATCCCTCACATAATAACAATCCATAATCATATTTAGTACCCTCACATAATAACAATCCATAATCATATTTAGTACCCTACACATAATAACAATCCATAATCATATTTAGTTCACGACACTTATTTTAATTACTTCATTTACTTCAGAAAAAAGTATCTTTAAATATTAAATTAACCGAGCTGTACATCAATGTTTGAAAGGAGACTTGTGAAATTTCTGTGAATTATAAACAACTGGATAATTTTTTTTTAATTTTCAAATGAAAGAAATAGTCGCATGATCGTTTTATTCTGTCTTATACATTGAGTTAATAAATGCATTTTTCATACCTAATGTCATTGTAAAACAGTCATTTAAATAAAATTATTAGTCGAAATTAGTTGTATCCTTCTATACTTAGTACCATTTCTTTGCAATACATTAGAATTCCATTTTCTCAGGGTATTGTGTAGATTCAGCCAACACACAGTATATGAAAGCATCGATAAAGAATTATTTTTCTGATACCCGACACCACGATCCTAGATTCAGAGCGTATAAGTATGCTGCAAAAGAATATATTTTCAACGAATTTCTCAAGTTTGGACTAAGAACTGAATACCATACATTTCAGGAGACATCTGTTTCTCCTACAGTAAGTTTATATGTGTATATATATGTTTGTTTTGCATGCACACGTTTAAAAATTGCGGTTTTTATCCATCGCAATCATAGGTTTGAACGTTGTTTTTCAATTTAGACTTGTATATATGTTTTGGTATATAATAAATTGATATATGACTAATATTTAGTTGACATTGTTTACACACATGTTAAAAAAACAAAATGGGGCTCTGTCCAAAACGAACATGAAACCAAAAATGAAATTCTCATTAACAAACACACTTAATTGTAATGCAGTTTTAACCCATTATGTGTTACTCTTGTGCTGAGTAATCTATAACGATTCTATAATCGTTGATAGTCAAGTAATTTCCCCAAAAAAGTTATAATGCCTCACAACTAATGATATTGCAATCTTTCGACAGTATGCAGACAAAGATATTTATTCAAAATCACTTTTTCAAAGCTATATACGCACTATTTTCTCACGCGCATTATTTATTTCAAAACTTGAAAGTTTTGAGGCTGATCCAGGAAATAAATGTTATCTACTATTATTCGAGCTATACCTTACTGGTCAGTACTGTTACCAAAATTTTAAGCGAAAAATAAGCATACATCTCTAGAGCTGAACTGAGTTTGTAGTTTGATTTTTTTGTAGATTTTTAAACGAAACGTTATAAAATGTGTAAAAGGGTCTTATATTCAAACACTTTGATTTATTGATTGATGATTGTTGTTTGCAAATAGTTCATGTATATTTCAGAACGAGAACAAAATAAAAGTATATTTGATAGGCAGGTTCTGCAAATGATGATGGAGTGCGGGAATATAGACAGCAACGTAACTGGAATATAAAACATTGCTTGATAAGAACATACTTTTGCCTTTAACGTGCAGAGAGCGTGGCACAACAAGAAGCATCAGCTTTGATGTCCCCATTCCGATTGGATGTGGATGCGTATCCATACATCCCGCGCAGTCAAATGGACGACTATCTTTATCGTTGATTTCATATACCATTAAGTAATTTAGACCTGTTAAAATTAACAACACACCACCAAAGCAGTGACAGGGTTTAGAAGGAACCACATAAATTCGTGAACCGTATCGAGATTTTACTCCAAAACACCGAGAACTATTTCTTGATTCCTCTTTTCTATATGTGTATCCAATTTAATCGTCAGTGGAGCTTGAAACAAATTTATAAACAAAATATTTTAAAAAGACCCGAATTGGATTGAATTGTCAATTGAAAGCTAATTGCTTTTCCGGTAGGTGTCACCAACTAAGAGTAAATCTTATATACTAAAACTAAAGGAATAATTCCCGAAAACAGTTTGGCCGTTAGATAAGCGTTTGTTTTGTGTATGTAATTTTTGTTTTGTCGCTCTTTAATGTTTATTGGACTTCCCAGACTGTCCAAAATTTTTGATATTGATCATCGGTAAACATTTTAAGGCTGACAAGAAAAAAATGTTGCGGTACTGAAATCGATATTATAGTTTTTGTTTACATTTTAAACATCCAGTGAGTAATATTAAACCAACCTGAGAACGAGATCATTTTAATAAAAAAAAATGAATTTTTAGATATGAATATGAACCTGATTTGCAGAAGAATTTTATCGAACAAGATAAACAATGTAATTGGACATTGAAAATTAAATTTATTCATCTCTGCGATTCTTTTTCAGGATTATTTCCAAAATGTTATTGGTATATTAAGGGGTATAAACTTTGGAACAGTACACGACCGAATTATAGGACTAGGTGCACACTATGACACCTTTCTTACTACCAAAGGTAAATCGAATGAAAAATCAAATTTGTTTCAATAGAAATGTTGCTTTTAACGTATTATATATAATTATAAAAATAAGCAGATGTGGTATGATTGCGAGCTGCTGTTGAATTCTTGATCTGATTAAGAGCTCAAATCTAAAAGTTTTAGTCAGTACATGCTTCAGTTGCTTCTCCTAATTTTTCCGAAAGATTTATCATAGATCATGAAAATAGTAATCTGACGTTGTAAACTACGATTGAATTTAAGGAACTCTACAAAATCAGATATCAACCTCCGCTAATTTTCTGATTAAATATATTTAAATTGCTCGCCGCGATATAGCCTTTTTGTGCTAATGCGAGGTAAAGCAATCAACAATCAACCAATCAATAGTAAAAATGTAGTTAAATATAGTAATGCTAATATCTTTGCCATTTTATTTGCTTCAGATTTTCTTTTGTACCCCTATGGTATATTGTTTGATAGCCAGTGCAAATCATATACATGCTTTAGTTGTTTGTTCCAAGACAAATAATTCCTATATATAAGGTTGTATAAAAGTAGTTTCGGGCATCGATGACTCGCTGTAATCGATGACGAGTTTATTCTATTATTCAAATTCGTACATCAGCGGCGGAAAGTCAGCATATTAATTTATCCCGTCAGTCCCTGTGTCCGTCCTTCAGTATATAAAAAGGATTTTATATGGTTTGTCTGAAACTCTTTTGACAATTTTCATGTAGAAATAGTGTACATATAATTATGATGTGCATTTGCGCTGAATTTAGATTTTCTCTATTTTATGCAAAATTTCCAATTTTGAATTTAATAGAGTAATTTTTGATTTTATGGGAATTTTATTAATAGGACACCAATTTGCCTGTCGAACACTTCAACAGTTTTCAAGGCGGGGGGGGGGGGGGGGGGGGGTTGTTCTTGTACATATAATGATGTATATTATGGACAGGTTTTTGATTTTCTTATAGTTCTTACAACATTACCAATTGTTGAATTCATATTATCCTGTTGAAATTTCCCTTATATAGTACAAGGTTTGACTGTCAAACTGTGTTTACAGGTAACAAGCTAGTGCTTTTATTTTTGTCAAATAATTCTTCATTTACTCAAAATGTCTATGAAAGAAGAATTTTTATTCTTCAAATTATTTAAGTGGATGAACTTTGCAAATTACTTCATTTGTTCTCTAAGTAAGAGCAATGCAATTTTTGTCATTCAAATAAAAAGGAAATAATAAAAGCCAAAACTGCAACGTTTTATAAACTGTATTTTTTCAATATTAAATTCTGCAAATTTGAAACATTTTTAAAGGCAGTGCTTTAATGCCTTTCTGGTTGCCGGGTTAATCCTTCCTTCCGCGATATCCAACTTATCTACGTGGGGGGTCATTAGGCTCCAAGTAGATCCGGAATGTTGAATTCTCTACCCTTCTTATTGTGATATAAAATGTTTTTTGTTTCATTTCATTTACATTGGGAAAAAGAGAAATGATCATTGTGTTTTGTTATTTTTAAAAACTTTTGATATATTTGTATTTTGCATTATAAGTAGTCAACCGATTGACAAACTAGAATTATTTGAATTCCGTGTGGAAAGAGGTCGGGTTAATTTCGAGTGTTATCTGCAATCTAGATGTTTATAAATCATTTCAGTCGTTGATATAATAATTAAAGGTCGACTGAACATGAATTATATTATAAAATTTAAAGCGCATTTCTGTTAATGCACGTGAACCCGTCTAACGTTATTGTTATTTCGCAGTTATATAAAGAAGCAAATTATCGTTCCTGAATAGGTGGCGCAGTGGTAGCCGATCCTGTTCCTCAACTTCCGGTTTGTGCACTGAGCAACTATTACAGTCAGTGACATTTTTAATTAACGATGCCAAGTACTTGTTGTTGTGTACCTGGATGTCATTTAAGAGGAGGACATGCATTTCCAAATGACTTAAAAAGAAGGAAAAGTTGGATCAACGCCATGGCCCATACGCAGATTGGACGAGAACACGATGAAATCGTGGAGTCCATCTCAATCAGCTGTTGTTTGCAAGGCACATTTTACTGAAAAAGACTACGTGCAGGAAACTATTCATGGTAAAACTCTATTTTCTTTTTGAAATATATAGTTATATATGTAATCGCCATGCGAATAAACCAAAGTCTGTTTACAACCGCAACTATCGTTTTAGAAAAAAAAGGGGGTGGTTAATTCAAGACGTCATAATTTTTTGGATTACGATTCAATGTGATCTGTTTGAGATTTTTTGGAGATTGCTACAATTATAATGATTTCTTACAAGAGGTATATATATCATACTGAGAATTATTTTAGCAGTAATTATGCTAATGTAGTAATGACAGGAATGCATAAGCTATGCCTCATAGACTTAGTTGAAAAATATCAATGACAATGTTAACAGGAACAAAACAATGACATGCTCTCATCTATATTATAGTTATTTAGGTACAAACAATGTACGTTTGTTGCATTAGTCTCTCATTGTTTGTCCTTTGGATTTACATAACATACATTGAATCAGGCAAACATAGTTTTATCCAGATTGTAATGAATAAATCTAGTTAATATTTTGCCAGGTGCAAATGTAGTACAAAGTATACATTGCTAATGGAAGTTCATTTGATTATCAAAAAACTAATGTTTTATAACCTTTTTTCAGGGCGCAAACCCACCATACAGAAACTTAAGTCTACTGCCATTCCCAGCCTATTTTCCTGGACCAAGCAAGAGACTGAACCGTCCGCAAAAAGAAAAATCAGGGCAGTTTCCTGTGAAAACAAAAGAACTAAACTTGATGAATATTGTAGTAGAAATCTAGAGGAAAGTTTTGATTGTAAAGTTGGTTTTCCTGAAGAAGTCATTCATACTGCAGAAAGGATTTATGACTGTCCACCACCAACTGTCGAGCTAATGTTGAGCTTCACAGATGGAATTACACAAACACCATCAATGGCTATGTTTTCAGCAGAGAATTTTGAAATGAAGACACGTGACACAGCCATGCATTTTTATACCGGTTTAGAGTTGTATACTGAATTTTTATTTGTTTTGACCACACTTGGTCCAGCAGCACATTGTTTGAGATACATATATTTTCAAATTGATAGGGTGTCAGTTGAAAATCAGTTTTTTTATGACTTTGATGAAATTGAGGCATTATACAACCAACTTTGAACTATCTAGATTCTAGATTGAATCTAGTGTTAAGAATATTGTGTTACCTACATGGATTGTTTTTATGTCTAAACAGTGGTGAGAGGCTAACACTTGGCCATCTAGTGGTTTAGTCAGGTATTTTTCGCCATCCAACTTCAAATTAAATTTTCCTACAACTTGGATTATTATTGACAGCACAGAATATCCCGTGATAAAACCTAAAGCTCCTAGAGCTCAGGCAACCTTTTCATCATATAAAAACAGAAACACTGAAAATACTTGTATGTTCGACACCTGGTGGTTTAGTCAACTATGTCTCTAATGCATATGTTGGTTGTACCAGTGACTCTGAAATAGTTGAAAGATGTAGAATAGTTCAATTATGTGATCCAGGTGACAGTGTGATGGCAGACAAAGGTTTAAATGTGCAAGATTTGTTTGCTAACTTTTTTCAAAAAAAGAAACATTAGTTCCAAAACTCTTATACAGGATTGAAAAGTCTCCAATTAACACATGCACATAGAGCGAATTATTGGACTTGGCAAAACATACAAAACTCTAATAAATCCTATGAATGGAACTGAAACAAAACTTTCATCTGAAATAACATTTAGTTGTATTATGTTGTGTAATTTTAGAACTTGTATTGTGCCAAATGATGCATAAATAAAAGTGACGCAATGAATTTTGTTCTGATATATATATATATTTACAATTACATGCACATGTAAATTGTAATGCATATAAAAATAAGGAGATGTGGAGTTTATTGAACCAGAGTGCATAAGAAATGGTTTTAAGCAGTTACAGGTGTTACTGTCACTGTACAATCTCCAACAATGAGAAAAACTCGTACCGTGTAAAAAATTTCAGAGATCTTACAACTAAGTTTTGTTGTCTCACCTTGACTTTGGTGAATTGTTTATATCTGTTGATGTAAATATAAAAAAAAAAGATGTGGTATGATTGCCAATGAGACAACTCTCCACAAGAGACCAAATGACACAGAAATTAACAGCTATAGGTCACAGTACGGCCTTCAACAATGAGCAAAGCCCATACCGCACAGTCAGCTATAAAAGGCCCCGAAATGACAATGTAAAACAATTCAAACAAGAAAACTAACGGCCTAATTTATGTACAAAAACTGAACGAATAACAAATATGCAACACATAAACAAACGACAACCACTGAATTACAGGCTCCTGACTTGGGACAGGCACATACATGTACATACAGAATGTGGTGGGGTTAAACATGTTAGCGGGATCCCAACCCTCCACCTAACCTGGGACAGTGGTGTAACAGTACAATATAAGAACGAACTATAAAAATCAGTTGAAAGAGGCTTAACTCATCAGATGGATAAATACAAATACAAGTGGCCATGGCCGGGTAGTTGTACATCCAAACAACAAAAAGACACTACGTACAGATCTGAGAGTACTCGCAGTTACTGACAGCTAGTTCAAAGCCACTAACAACTGATAAAAAAATCTTGCATCTAAGACTAAATTATCAATCCTTAAGCTCCCTTTAGAATTTATAAATTTTATATTTTACATTTCTGAGTTGTGGGGTTTTATTCATTAAAAAAGGGGGGATTTTCCAGTTTTTGGATAACCCAAAAATGCTTTAAGCAGTTCGCATGAAACTTTGGTGAATTATTTATAGCTATTGATGTAATCTCACTATTGATTTTCATAAAACTTGGCGTCTGTCGTCGTCGTCTGTCGTCGTCGTCTGTCGTCGTAAACTATTTCAAAAATCTTCTCCTCTGAAACTACTGGGCCAAATACCTTCAAACTTTAATTAAATGTTCCTTAGGGTATCTAGTTTATAAATTATATCCGAAGTTTTGATCTATCGACAAACATGGCCACCATGGCTAAAAATAGAACATAGGGGTCAAATGCAGTTTTTGGCTTATATCTTAAAAACTAAAGCTTTTAAAGCAAATCTGACAGGAGTAAAATTGTTCAATTGGTCAAGATCTATCAGCCCTGAAATTTTCAGACGAATTGAACAACCCATTGTTGGGTTGCTGCCACTAAATTGGTAGTTTTAAGGAGAATTTGCAGTTTTTTGTTATCTTGAATATTATTATAGATAGATATAAACTGTAAACAGCAATAATGTTCAGCAAAGTAAGATCTACAAAAAAGTTAATAAGACCATAATTGTCAATTGACCCCTTAAGGAGTTATTGTCCTTTAAAGACAATTTTACACAATTTGTTCATCAAGTTTGCTAACATTTAAAAATCTTCTCCTCTGAAATACAGGTGAGCTATTCAGGCTCTTGAGAGCCTCTTGTTTCATTCATAAATTACTTTATACTTGGAAATATAATTTTGCTTGGAGTTATAGTTTCTAAAAAAAGTATTATCATTGAAAGAGTTGACATGATGCAATGAACATTTATTCTACATAGTACTATGGTACCAAATCAAAAGTTTATATAAAAGAAAGAAGTCAAAGGTTTCCCATCATAGTTTAGTAACATACATTTTTTTTGTACCTGAGGTCGTTGAATATAGATCATTATATAAATAAGGAGATGTGTTATGATTGCCAATGAAACAACTATCATCCATACTTACCAGTAACAAACCACATTTGCAAAGTTGAATAAAATACAGTTGATAACATTTACTTATTACTAAAAAGAAAATGCCTAACTATTTTAAACAGTATTTGACTATAAACATAGATAAAAAAGGTACAAACTGGACATAATGCACTAGTTCATAAACAAGTGAGAACAATCGCCTTCATATAGTGCTCAGAATATGACATTCATAAAACTTGTTCAATATCATTAGAGAACTCTAAATCTTAAATTCTGAAAGCCACCTCTGATAAGTACACTGCACTATGCAAGATAATGATATAACTGGACTAAAAATACACACAACCTGTAATTAACTGCCTTTACAGGGCTTTCGAGCTTTCCCATTAGTTATCGATTTTATTAGCTTTCTTTTATAATGAATAGATATTTTTCAGGAGTTGACGATAATGGAGCAGGAGTTGCAGCTATGTTGGAAGTTGTTAGACAGCTAAGTTACATGAACAAGAATGGCATCACAAGGAGAAACACCATTGTATTTGCAGGGTTTGATCTTGAAGAATATGGAGGTAAGAATTTTTTTTTATACTTTCCCTTTTCTGACTACGTAAACTTTTATCAAGGTCAAACAGAAATACAGGTAATCAATGGAAATAAGGGTATTGTATTAATTGTTCAATTGTATCTAACTGCCAGTCGATTGAAATGAAGATTGAACATTGTTTAAACTGTTTCTAGTATGACCAGCAAGTAGTATATGAACAGTATATACAAATACAACCGAATTATATTTATGATGTCGAAGCAATGTTGTTTTTATTTGTATCTTTGAGTTTCTCTGTTTATTTACCTTACCAGAATAATTCAGTCGTTATATTCCGATGCTCTATGATAGCTCTATTTAAAACAAGTAAGAGAGATCGATGACGTGGGAGGGTGGTCTGAATTGTTCATGTTATGACGTACCTTAGTTATTATACAAAACCAGTTCAAGACAAGAATTAAAGAAGTATTTAGCAATTTTTCTTTTTTTTTTCTTTTGATTTTTAGGATGCCAGTCGTGTATTCTTCGAGGTTTCGCTGCTTGGGCTGGAAGTCGTCATTTTGTAAAATCATGGCTCCCTGCATGGCTATCAATAAATTATGGTAATGACCTGCCACCAGTAATGCACGGAGTTATAATCATGGACACAATGATGGAATATAATACTTCCAGTAAATCTCAGAAAATTCCAGAAGGATACGAGTCTGCGGTAAGAGGTTAATCTAATTATTTTACCCGACAGAGTATGTTAGGAAAAGGTAAAATAACAAAAATACCGAACTCCAAATTCAAATCGGAGAGTCCCTTATAAAATGGCAAAATCAAAAGCTCAAACACATCAAACAAATGGAAAACAACTGTCATATTCCTGACTTTCTACAGACATTTCTTTATGTAGAAAATGGTGGATTAAACCTGGTTTTATAGCTAGCTAAACCTCTCACTTGCATGGCAGGATAAAAATCTAAGTCATATGCAAAATTCCGCTCAGATAAAATATTATGGTAACTTAATACAAAGGATTTGTTATTGGGTCATTTTTTTAGGATGAAATAAAAAGTTAAATTACAAAAATACTGAACTCCGAGGAAAATTTAAAACGGAAAGTCCCTAATCAAATGGCAAAATGAAAAGCACAAACACATCAAAAGAATGAACAACAACTGTCATATTCCTGACTTGGTACAGGCATTTTCTTATGTAGAAAATGGTGTATTGAATCTCGTTTTATAGCGCTAAACCTCTCACTTGTATGACAGTCGAATCAAATTCAATTATATTGACAACGATGCAAAACCTTTACAACATGCAAATCTTTTGAACACAAATTTGAAATTCATTTTGACCAATCACCAGATTGAAATCGCTTCTAAAACAATAGCCAGTAGAACACATCTAAACTGAAGAGTAAATTCTGAAAGTATATGTGCAATGTCATGTATTTCTTTAAATTCTTTGTCTTACATACCTGCAATCGCTTTCCATTTACCAAAAGTTTACTTTCCAACGTCTGTAAATAACGAAATTGACAGCATTAGAATTTCGTTATAAGAAATAAAAATCGACATAAGGCAAACGTCACTGAAACATGCAGAAGAGATTTTCACATCACGATAGCGAAAAGTTATGAACTAGTTCATATCTTGCAAAATGTGTTGGTCATTTCAAACATTGACTATATCTGTATGCTTATATATGTATATTTATAAACATGTTATTTTCAGTTTCAAACATTATTCAACGATACCTATGCTAGTATTGCATCTGACAACTTCAGAGGAGACTTCTTAAATTTGATATACCGTAAACCTACTAACGACTCCTATCTATCTGAAGCTTTCCATTCGTCATGGACAGAGTCAGGAAGACCAAAATATCAAATTGAGTCCTTTCCTCTTCCTTTTGTGAGTGTTGGTGACTTAAAGCCAAAAGAGATAAATGTCTTAAGTAACTTTCTACGCAGTGACCATGCCAATTTCTGGGAAAATGGATTCCCAGCTATCTGGATAACTGATTCAGGTGAGTTTACTATTTAAGTATTTAGATATTATTCATGTATACACGGTTTGCGGTGGATAAATTTCAAATCTCAAATTTCAATAATAAACTAACAGTGACAACATAAACTTTGTTTACAAAAAGTAATAACATAATAATTTTGAAGAAAATAATTATAACACAATAGGCAAATCAGTTCCTTTAAATTATAGAGAACATCCGTTTAGCTTGATGCCTAGGTCATACATTCAAGGATTACCTCGCCGGTTCAACTACGGATTAAATCTCACGGATGATCCCGGAAACGCAGTTTCCATAGTCCGATACGGATCCGATACGGACGCGCAACGGTGTGACTACGGGTTTTGACGTATCTACCACGGGTAATATAGGCGACATGAGTGATACGGATTCTCACGGTAAGGCACGATTTAATACGGAAACGACACGGTTTAATACGCAACGACACGTGTCGAAGCGTATGTAGTGCAGATAAACAGCGTTTTGCTACGGTATAAGTAAGGATTAGTACGAATGAGAACGGTCTGATACGGAATAGTACGAACTGTCACATTTTTAAGCCGTTAATCATTTCTAATTTAGCTTGTGATTTATCACGTCTTTATGGCAGTGAATCGATGATTTGTTTGTTTGTGTAATAAATTATTTATTTGTCTGTCTGTACCAGGTGGTGTTCTTCGTAATCCCCGGACAAACGACATATGGCAGTTCTTGAAACGTATTTGTGACTATTCTTACAAAGTTCTTAAATGCAGCTGGACTTTCCACACAAAATTCAGTCACGAGGGCCTCATACTGACCATGAATAGGTCTTCGGAGAAACCAGTCCCAAGTCCACAATATCCTCTGCCTCCGGTCATCTGTACATCGGTCATCAAGTAGCTCTACTACTGCCCTGGCATTTTGTACCATATTAATATCCAATTCCACCCAATTAATTGCAAGCATCAGTTGTTGAGTGTTCATGTAAGGTGATTTTATGTATACCTCTACGGCAAGACACAGACTACGTTGGACCCTATAAATAGGGAGTATATACAGAAGCCTTATGTCAGATTGTCATGGACCGTAATATTCCGTATTTTGTCGTGTTGTAACGTAGTAAAACGTAACAGACTTTTAGAACCCTGGCTGATCCCTAGCTATCCGTGTTGCAACGTAATGAAATCGTGCCTTTCCGTGACAAATTCGTAACAAATCGTATTGTATCCTTAACAAATACGTGGTGTAACCGTACTAGTACGTAGTTCTCCGGAACTTACCGTAGAAATCCTTCGGGCCTACGAATAAGTACGGGTTAATACTGTTTTAATAGGGTATAAAACGGATCAGTACGTTCTAATACGGTTTAGTAAGGATATACTACGGTTGTTTGATCCGTGGTCAAATTTTGCGCATGTTCAAAAATTGTCACGGATATACAAGTACTACTACGTATGAATACGGCTACAAAACGGAAATCTACGGACTAATAAAGATTGTCACTAACGATGCCGGATCGTATCCGTAGATAATCCGGCGTCAAATCCGTGAATGTGTGAACTAGGCATTAAATCAATATCACATTTCAAACTATTGAATTTTTATAGAATAACTAATCGAAGAATTCAAATAGAGAAAAATATTCAACGAGTGACCGAACAACACATTAATTCACGAATGCGCGTAGCGCATGAGTTAATTATCAGTGTTGTTCGGTCACGAGTTGAATATTTTTCGATATTTGAATTCTTTGATTAGTTATTCTTTTTATTACATTGGCAAATGCTTTTTTTTTATGAAATTAAAGTAGAAAATGTAAGGAACTATATCTTTTTCTACGCATTCACAATTTGTTTTGATCCGACGTTATCGACGTCTTGACAACGCCTATTGTTGTATGACGTCAGAGGAGTTAAATAACCACGTTTATTTCACATGTGAAATTATCGGTTTTTATTTCACTGGGAAATCAATGTAATTCATTGCAACCAATGTAATAAAAACTTATATTAACATATGTTCGATTGTGTATGATGTCATTTAAATACTATTTGTTCCGGCAATAAAATTTAGAAAACGTCAAGATAATAGTGTAATAATTTTCTATTTAAGAATACGCGTTAGTTAGACATTTTGCTGTTTAGTTTTGTTATGTGATTAATTAAAATGATTTCAAGTGCACAGAATAAGTCATTTCAAACGTAAATAATGTCACCTGATTTCAGTTTATTAATTGTAACTGAAAATTGGAATATTTCTTACTTCACATGAACTTAGTGTTTTTACTGTTACCACAAGTATGATGAACTTTCGCCTTTTTCAGCCAATTTTCGTGGTGACATGATTCAGTGCTACCATGCCGAATGTGATAACGAGGAAGTTATGCTGACAGATGAAAACATTAATTTTCTTGGTAAAACAGCAGATGCACTTGTAAAGACGATCCATAAACTGTCAGAACCTTCTGGGTCCGGTATGTGCATTTTACGTTAGCGTACCTGATGAAGATTATCCCAGAAGCACGTGTTGTGCGCATGGAGATTGTATGTGTTTTTACCACCAATGAGTCTACACCTCTGATTGTTGAATATCTATTAGTCTGAGAGGATTCCATTCATTTGCAGTCACTGCTTTGGTATTTGCATCATTCAAATGATACATTTTGACAAGTATAGTGAGAGTCCTGATTTTGCACAAAATACAAATATTCGTCAAGCCTTTCAAATTAGCGTCAATTGTATTCTTTAGTACTGAAATGTCACTTGTGAAATCACAATGATGTCATAATTAAGCATGTCGAAATTAACATATTAGACTTAAATGGCAATTTAACGCTACATTAAGGCAAAATCAGATATGAGCCAAAGCCTAACCGAATATGATATGTTATCCACATTAACATCTTTGCATTAAAAGACAGGTAGCAAAATATGTGCATGGGTAAGTCGTTTGCTTATATCTAAATGTTTTAATACAGTTTCGCATTTAATAAATGAGGCTCGAAGCCTAAGTGGAAACATGTGAAAAAAATGATAAATATAGATATTAAGTACATTTTATGACCCAAAGGTGGCCTTATGATGTCTTCTGCTTTTCTCGTTCTTTGAATTTTATTTCCGTGTTAAAAGTAAGGTTGCAACACCCTCGAGAAAAGATGACCTGGTTCATGTCGTTTTTTATTATTTTGCTGAATGTCAAATTTTAAAAACCTATAATCAGGTCAAGATGAAAACCCCACATTAAAATTGAAAACACCAATCATAAATTAAACTGTCCATACAGTTTGACTTCCCTTTGATTAAAATTTATCTCCCCCAATATTACTGCTGAACGAGAGAAGACTGTGATTACCGTATTTATATACCCATTGGGGTCATATAAAAAAAATCTAGAAAGAAAGCATACATTCATGTCCCTGTTGCAGCTTTCTTAACATTCCATAAAACTCACGTAAATATTCGAAAGAACAATTTCACATCACAGAAATCTCCGAAAGGACAATTAACATTGGACAAGTAACACTGTTGGTCATTTCGAAGATCTCTATAAGGTCGTTAACGATGAGAAAAATATAATTCCGTCTCCAACTTCATCAGGAAGACTTGACCTTAATTGGGTTTTGTTGGGGTTTTTTTGTCATATAGTTCATCCAGTTGTTATATAACCTAGGATCTCAATTTTGTTTATATTTTTGAGCGTTCCTGGTGAAGGTAAATCATGATAAGCGTTTAAGATGCTCAAAATTGATACTGCTCAGATATCATTCAACACTCCATCTTTGTAATTCTAATTTGTAGGTACAAAAGAAGACATCAATTCAACAGGTATGACTGCAGGAGGCATTATTGGAATCATAATAGCGGTAATAGTTTTACAGCTACCCTTTATTGTGGCATATGTACTATGGAGGAGGAACAGATCAATTCCATATCAGAAGGATGAAGATGAAAATCCCACAAACGGAAAAGGATAGCATTGCACTTCAAACTATTTCATTCTTATCGAAAATGAATATAGAAAACAAAAAAATGCATTTAATATCATAAAACTGTTTAATAAGTTTTATTATCTATATCAGGGTTATGAGATCATTTTTATATTTATTTATTTTTGAAAAAAGGAGAAATATAAATTCATATTTTCCCTAGTTATCATTCCATTGATAAATTCGATGTAAAATGTCAACACTTTTAATTTTAATGACGAAGTAAGTTCTTCCTGGTAAATTCAAATATATGGTCTTCTCTTTTCAATATATTTGTTTTCTGTAAGTTATTAACATGGAATAACATTTGTAACTGATTGTACAATTTCGTTACATGTAAAAACTGGATTCACATATCCTAATGGATGACGAAATTTAATAGATAACGGATAAAAATGGAATAAAATAAAGTTCTATTTATGAAGATTTCTAAATAGTGAAAATTATTCCCCATAAATTTTTTTATGCCCCCCCCCTAGGGGCATTATGTTTTTCGGTCTGTGCGTCCGTTCGTCCGTCCGTCCGTCCATCCGTCTGTCCTGCTTCAGGTTAAAGTTTTTGGTCAAGGTAGTTTTTGATGAAGTTGAAGTCGAATCAACTTGAAACTTAGTACACATGTTCCCTATGATATGATCCTTCTAATTTTAATTCCAAATAAGAGTTTTGACCCCCATTTCACGGTCCACTGAACATAGAAAATGATAGTGCGAGTGGAACATCAGTGTACTATGGACACATTCTTGTTCTTTCTATTTTGTTTAAGCTTTGATTGTTTTTAATGATACTTAACCTGCTTGCTGATTTTATTTAATTTTTAAAACCTTTATCTATATTTACATATTAAAGATAGAACAGATGGCAGATCTTTGATTGTTTTTGTTAAATTTCTATCCAACTTTTATAGAATCGAACGATTTATAGCTTACACATTGTAAAGATACCTTTCTTTTGTGGATGAAACTATGTTGCACCTGAGATCACCCCCAGTTCTTGGTGAGGTTCATGTTGCTCAGTCTTTAGTTTTCTATGTTGTGTTTTGTGTACTATTGTTTGTCTGTTGGTCTTTTTCTTTTTTAGCCATGGCGTTGTCAGTTTATTTTTGACTTATGAGTTTGAATGTCCCTCTGGTATCTTTCACCTCTCTTGAGCCCTATAGATGTGTTTTGATTATTTCTGTCTGTTTTGTTTGTTGACGTATACCCTACATTATCTTTTTTTCAAAGATAGTAGAGCCTGTACACAAGGTGTGCAACAGAAGATCAGAATCCAAATGAAATACACAAACACGGTAGCTGTCAAACTCCGAAACAGTGACGACGTCCCTTCTAATGCTGAACTTCCACGGATAAGTCAGCGTTGTGTAGCAGAGACGACGTTACCACTGTTTCATAATTCGGATATCTGTACGGATAAGCAAGTAAAGACGAATGCGAATAGAGGACATAAAAATAAAACTGAGCGATACAATTCCCAATAACAAACAGAGATGGAGAAATATCAGTCAGCATGATGACCAGATTGTGACGACGGTTTTAAACTTTAGTAATAAAGGTCGGTAGTGGTGATAGTTTAGAATAGAAAAGTGCCACTTATAAGTGTCCTCTCAAGAAAGTCACTTTTATAAGTTTGTATAAGCTACAGTGAGGTAAACCAGCTCTGAAATACATTATACGTATGCCTGTGATGTACAAATGTACAAATGAACATGTATAAAAAAAAAATAACAATTATCAAAGGCAATCAACTTTTGTCAGTTATTAGGATTTTGATTGGGAAAAAGCCGATTAAACAATTAACTTAAATAGCAAAAACGACAGTTTACTTAACTCTAGTATTTAGTTTTTTTGATAAATTTCCCAAAATTAGTAATAAAGAAAGGAATATGACTATTTTGGTCACCGAAAATGTGAAGTTATATTAGTCTGCGCATGTGTTTTCTTAAGTTAAAAGTAAAAAAGAAAAATATACGTTTCACAATTAGAAAAACAACACACTTACAGTGATATAAGCCCCTTTACTTCGGGAAAACATGGAATAAAACTGACTGATGTAACCTTCTCATATTCTATTTAAAAATTCTATCTTTTAGCAATCTTTCTGGTCATTTAATAGTGTTTTTTTCCGATATAACCTTTGTGTAAGTCCCCGATGGTATCATCAGACCAGTAGCCAGTACTTCGGTTCTGGTATCAAAATACGAATATTCTGTTATTTAAAGGAAAAGGTTCACTTTAGGCCAAATATGACCTTGAAATTCAACTTTATCATAAAATATCAAACTGGCCATAATTTGGTTCTTAAATGGATCTATTTCAAAAGCCTTACTCCTAGGTTAAACAATTCTCTCTTGATAAGAGTATGTTCTAGGCTTGAAAGTCAGCACATTTTTTATATAATGTCAAATAATGCTTAAGGAAACCCTTGGCCGCCACAAAGGATCCAAAATATTCTATTGCCAAAAGTTGCCAATAATTACATTAAATCCCTGATTTTATAACACAAGTAATGCATTTTTGAGGGGTCATTTTTTCGTCATTATAATGTGATGTACCAAAAAGAAGTTATCTTGTATTAATAGTTATACCACTACTATTATTATGTGAAATTTGTAGTATTTTGGCCGGATTGAAAAACATCAAATTCTTAGGGTCAATTTTAACCTTTCGTGAACTGACTCCTTTGCTGTTACAAAATTTTGGATATTGTTGTAAAATATCTCCCTCATGCAAAGCTCTGATTAATTGCCCGGTTTTGGCTATACTTTTTCTCCATTTTGGTTTTTTGAGCCCCTAGTTTTTTTAATAAGTTTTGGGTTTTCAAATATTTTGGCCTCCGTCATCACTAAAGAGACATTTATTGTCGAAGTGCGCATCAGGTGCAGAATAATTTGTACCGTTGATGTTAACTTATTGTAGCGATTTGATATATATTTTATTCATATTTTGGAAGAAGAATATTATAAAACAGTATCATGATTATGTCGGAACAGTATTTTAAAGTCCTGGAATTTTAATGGTATCAAGCTACTTTAATAATGTCTTCAAGCTATAACAGTCCAAACGACGACCAGTTAATTAGCGTAGCTACTTCTGAAAGATGCGTCGCCGAGTTGATTCGGTAATTTTAAAACAAAACTCTTGAATCAAATTGCTTCATAATGTGTTGCATGAAATGTTGAGGCCTTCTTTTTTTTGCGGACTACTCTAGATCTGAAACTTATTTTGAGACGTTATTATTATAAACTCACTAAGAATTTTTCATTTCAATGTCAACAAACAACAAAAAAGCATTACAAAAATAGTGAAATGTAAATAAGTAAGGTGAAGGGAAAAAAATGAAACAGAAATCAACAAGAAAACTATAATGCTAAAATATATCGTTTTCATAGAACTAATCCGTATTACAATATCCTTGAAATCAGTTATTTTATACTGATTTTAATGAAAAGATGGGATAAGAACGCAGTCATGTAGACACAATGTAAATTAATAATAACATTCAAATAAAGTAACAAATAAGATAACACGTATGTTTTAAATATCAAATGTTTTTACAACAACCTTTGTCAATGAGTTTATGTAGCCGAATCATAGACGGATATCAACAATAATTGTACGGTGACATTTTTATTATTTGATAAATATCATATTAAATTGGTTTCATTTTTACTATCTAGGGCATTGTACTTACATATAAAATGTTATAAATCAACTATTACACTTAACAGACTGGTCTAAGAAGAAACTGTTTTAAAGACTGTAAACAAATATAAATGTCTACTGATGTTTTCTGTAAATGTTAAACGTTAATTTGATATTGAAAGTAAGCAATATCGGTGAAGTACGAGGTAGTGCTTATCTGACCCATATTCATTTTTACATTTGGGACTATTTTCAGAAAATCTCTCCAACTTAACTAAAATTCACTGCACCATATCTTCATGTTTGCACTTTAACGTTTTATGATACTATGCCGTTTTTTGAACATGTAAAAAATTAAAACTAGTAGATGAATATTAGTTTGAAACGGTCATTTTGATCTTAACATCATCATAAATTATTCAATCTTTCAGTCAATTTCCAGACTTATCCACTTTGGTAAAATCAGTACTCTGTAGACAATTCGCTTGCAGTCATGTACTTTTGATTGAATGACTAACGTTTTATGATACTATGCCGTTTTTTGAACATGTAAAAAATTAAAACTAGTAGATAAATATTAGTTTGAAACGGTCATTTTGATCTTAACATCATCATAAATTATTCAATCTTTCAGTCAATTTCCAGACTTATCCACTTCGGTAAAATCAGTACTCTGTAGACAATTCGCTTGCAGTCATGTACTTTTGATTGAATGACCAAAGTTGTAATCGATTTTTGAAAACATTACGAGAAAGATATTTCAATCCAAAATCAGATATTTTTTTTTAAAGGATATGCAATACATTTAAAATTTATTTTGTTCCAAATGCCCTTCAATGTAAACCTTAACAAAATTATGTCAACTTTGCAATGGTATATAAATTAAGTTTATTCAGCAAGAGGGCTTAATAAATTTTATTTTATAGATATATGTTAAGTGATTACGTGAAACATAACTTTGGTATACGAGTTAGACTGTTAAACATTCGAATTCCACAAAGATTTATCAACACTTTCGAATTTGACCCTCTCTAGGTGAGAAAAGTAAAGCGGACATTGGCCATATTTCTTTCATGTCTTTCAGTCTAGTTTTTTTATGGCGCATTATGTAATTTCTAAAATTTGACTGTTAGCTGTAAATGTTAACAGAGACTCAAACGGGCTTAACAACCATCAAATACCCCTCTTAAAAATGTATTCTTTTTCGAATAAGATATGTGTGTAATTTTGTGTTAATTTGTTGGACTTAGGTGGACGTCCGGTATCTAATAGACGTCGGTTCCCAAAATCGGAGTCCCGATTAATATTACAAATTTAAATCGGTGTACTATATTTTTATTATCTACCGTCAATAAATGTGCGTCAAGTACTACCAGTGTAAAGTACAATCGGAGTCTCATCTTACTTTCAACCGTTATGGTTCTTATACATCTTTGGCTTTCAATTATTCGGTTTTGAGAGTTCCTGGTGAAGGTAAATCCAGAAAAGCGCTTTGAACACATTCAATTTATTACGTGTTGTTTACATCTTTAAGCGGAATGAAATGATAGACAAATTATAAAATAGTGAAAAAAACGACAAAGGAAACAACATCTCAAACCCAAATATAAAGAAACTTCAACAAAAGGTAAGGACGAATATGGTGTAAATGACATGCTTAAGATAATCCCGACGACATAATCGTATACAATATTTCATGAAGCGCATTTTGTACTGGATGGCATCTGTCTTCAATTTCACAGTGGACTGTCGGAGTTTTGATGGAGTATATTATGTAACGCTACTTTTGATGGAATAATGCCTGCAGTCAAAACAAAGGTGGGCGGTAAGAGATTTTGGCAACAACCTAAATAATAAATTACCTTTGCTGTATTTGGCAAACTATTCGTTATATTTGCCCCCTTATGCTCTTATATTCCGTACTTTATTTTGCCTTTTTTACTTTTTGGTTCGAGCGTGACTGATGCGTCTTTTGTAGACGAAACGGATATCTGCCGTACAAAATTTAAATCCGGGTATCTATGATGAGTTTATTTACAACCACTGAGTCGATGCTACTGACGGTGAAGGTTTCCTCCCAGAGGGTATCACCAGCCCTTATTTAGCCCGAGTCTAAGTGACAAGAAACTAGAAATGTTTTTTATTCATACATTTGTCTGTAGCTATCGTTCATGTTAAGTTTAATGTGTGCAAGTTATATTACTTTATCAATAAA